GGATCCGGAGACGCGAGGCTCCCCCGGAGCCCGGGGAGGCGGGCCAGATGTGCGCGGAGGAGGGCCCGGGCGCGGGGACCCGGCTGTGGCCGCGGCTGCCGCCCGCCAGCCGGCTGGGGGCCCCGCTCGGCAGAGGCTGCGGCCAGATCGGAGGCGGTCGCCACTGTGCCGGGTCTGGGTTGGGGATTTCGCCTTAAAATGTTGCCTTTTTTAAAAAAAGCCCCACCCTTCCGGAGTGACAGCTGTGAGCCCCAATCCGCAAAGTGAATCCCACCTCCCCGGGTCTGCCCCGCACCCACCTCCCTGCCACCCAGCCTGTGGTGTGCGCCAGGGAGGGGGCTGTGTGAGGCGGGAGGACACCCCGCCGGCCCCGAGCTTCCTCCAGGGAGCCGCCTACTCTCCCAACAGGTGTGAGGGCCGCCATCTGCCTCCGCTCTGCTTCAGAACCCGGTGCTGCGGACCTCTGCGCTCCGAGGCCCGGGTGCGCCTCACCTGTCAGGCCGGCGAGGGTGGCAGGAAGGGCCACCGCCGGGCCACACGCCCCGTGGATCCTGACAGGAAGGCCTCTGGCAGGCCCTGCGGGTGAGGGGGGTAGACTGTGTGTGAAGATGCCCCTCAGGCCAGGCCTGGAACTGCCAGCAAGTCAGTGACCCCAGGACTCCATCCTCACTCCCCCCACCCATCATGCCACAGGGTGAAGTGACTGACTGTCCCTGAGAAGATAAAACGCACGTCTCCCCCGTGACCAGCCTCCTGAAGCCCTAATGAGGAGGCTCCAACCAGGATCACTGAGCACCGGCCTGTGATTTTAGCGCAAGGACGGCGTGCTCCATGTGAGACTTTCAACTACCCAAATCAAACATCGGAGAAAACACTGAATTTTAAAACTAGGTGATAGACAGGAAGGCAGTTTGGTGGGTAGATAAGTGGATACCTAGAGAGCCGTGTAACCGTCGCCTCCGGTGGACTGACCCCTGGGGACCCCTGTGTTACAGGGCAGAAGCGGGTTTCCTGCTTGTAATTGTTTCAGAAGCAGACAGCCAGGTCTGTTCTTCCTTGGTCCCACTGGGTGGGTTCCCAGGGCTAATGGTTAGGTAGCAGTCAAATGCAAACCTTTTGCACCACCTAGTGACCCTGATATAAACAGTCAACATTACACATTCAAAAAATAAAACCATGAATTTCAAATATCTATAAAGAAAGCTCCCTATCTAAATACTTGTATTTAGATATTTAAAGCACTAGCCACCAAACTGAAAGAAGTGAGTTCACCTCGGTAGGTGAATTCAGAAGACCAAAGAGGAATCGGCACCTTTGAATTACGATGCTGGAAAAGAGTGCTGACTACACCGCGCACCGAGCTCCCGCTGCAGTGCTCAAAGCACTTGGCTGCTAACCGCAAGATCAGCAGTTCGAACCCCCCAGCTGCTGGGTGGGAGAAAGATAAGGCAGTCTGCTTCTGTGAAGATTGACAGCCTTGGAGACCCTGTGGGCAGTGCCACTCTGTCCTCTAGGGGCGCTGTGGGTCAGAATGGACTCCAGGCAGTGGGTGTGGTTTGG